CGCGTTGTAACGCTAATGTGTAGCAGCAGTTCGCAGTCGAGCAGGCGCGTGCGGGCGTGGGGAAGCGGCGCCGCACCTGTTTCTTACGCTGTCACCTGAGGTACTCGTACTCTTTAACTACAATCACACCCCGGCGACGTAGGTGGAGGGTACAACAGTGGTGTGACGATATTAAAAATAACGGCAGTAATGCCAAACGGGGCGACGTTCTTTTAAATAATGTTGTATCAATGGATGTTATATCGATGAACGACTTAGAATTGAAAAGCATCGCATTCCATTCGTGGTCAGACTCTCATTATGCTTGTCTCTCCATTTCACAATATTCATTTCAACATTTCTCCATTTCAATTTATTTTCTGTGCGAGGAGTCCAATCTACCGAAAGCCGGAGAATTTGCGATCATTTGAGCGTGTGTTGATTGTTTTCTTCGCTGTCAGCTGGCGGATTTCTGTGGGCGCGAGCGGCTTTTTGCCGCGGGCGAGGGCGACGCCGTGTGGGAATCCCGCGCAATTAGGCGGCGCGTCGCGACTGCCGACGGCAGTCCTGGGTTCGGCCACCGACCCAACCACCGGCTCCCGCCGACACGCACGCCCCTGCTGCTGCGCCTTCCCCGCGCCGGGCGTCGCATGGCACACTGCTAGTCTTCGTCCTCGCTACCCGATGTTTATTACTCTTGCTACTCTTCTTCCTACTCTTCCTTCTCCATTTCCTTCTTATTTCTCCTAATCTTTTTCTTCTTCCCTTTCTTTTACCCGTTGGTCTTCCTTCTCGTCTTCCTCCACTTCTGCCCTATCTTATTGTTCCTTATCTTCCTTTTCTTCCTCCTCTTCTTCCTCTTTTTCTTTCCACTTCTTCCTCCTCGTCTGCTTTCCTTTTGTCTTCTAATCTTACCTCTCTACTTCCTCCTCTTCGTCTTCTACCTCTTTTCCATCCATATTTTCTTCCTTGCCTTTCTCTTCTTCTTCTTTTTCTTCTCCTTTTTCTTCCTTTGTCTCTTCCAATTTTCCGTTTTCCCTTCATCTTGCAACGATTCTTTCTCTTTCTTCGTTTTTCTCAGTTTTAATCTCTGAAGAAAGAATATTCATGCCAGCCGCTAGTGAGATACTCAATCATTCATTACGTTTTAAAATTTACAATAGCTGCTTTTAAATGTGAGTGGGGCATTTAAATAATTATTTAATTGTTAAAAGGGAAGTGAATTGTTAGAAGGCAAAAGAATTGAATTGTTGATCTATAAAAACGATGTTTAGTATTAATATTGGTATTGTGGTGTGCTAAATATATTGGTCAAATAGGCAAAACATTTAACACCAAATTTAAAGAACATATACACGCTTGGAACCACAATTCCTGTAAATCTAACTTTGACAATCATTAACTTCAGACAGGCCATTCATTCAATCCACACACAGATATTCGGATACTGGAAATATAAAATCAATATCACACCAGATTGACTTTGAAAAACCTTAATATTCATTTAAATGATAACTTACTGAATGAAAACATAAACCAAAGCCCCTCTCCTCTACTAAAATTATTATTAGACACTACTCCCACTCCGCACTCTTCCAAGGTGGCACAGTAGAGAGCGCACCGCACCCAGGACATAACCCTCCTCCACCCCACAGCCGGGTACTTGCTCCACTCCACCCCACAGCTCCTTGGCTTGCCCGAGACTGCGTAATCGTTTTGTGGCTTCCATTCTGCAGGTAAGAAACGACTGAATATACATTCCATGTTATCTGTTTCAAAAATTTCACTTGTTCAAATTCAATTTCATTCAATTTCTTGTACTATTAAATGATTTAACACTTCTTTCTTTCAATTAATAAAATGGTTATTCTATTTTCTAAAACTTCAAACTTTCTTTATTAGTAACTTGTTTATTGTAATGTTGTTGTTTTTTGATTCACGTTTTAATAGTTTTTTTCTTGTACTAGAAAAATGATGAGGATGGTTAAGCTATCGAAAGCTGCTCTTGTAATAATCAATATTGTTGACAATGACGACTCATAATTATTTCATTTCATTTAGTATTAAATTTAGAATCTCGTACGACTTTTCATTTTGATAAAATGTCAATACTAATTTAGGATAGAGTGACTTCGACTCTCGCCCTTTTTTTCTGCGTTGAAAATAAATCAGCATTGGTTGCATCGAAAGATAAATTTCTTCAAATAGTTTTTGGTTGTGTGTGATACAAAATTTTTAAAAAGAGCGGTGTTCGATAGTACCAGAAGAAAAACAGTGCTGACAATAGTATGATATGAATCTAGATCGAGAACTACTACGTTCGATTACAAGGAATTTTGAAGCAGTTTTTATGAATTACTCCTCTGAGGGCGCGGTGAGGTATGCTACATTTCTTGTCATATTCCTCAAAAAACAAATTCTGTTTCTTGAATAAAAGAAAAAATAACTTGTCCATTTTCAATGCCATAAAACGTCAGTTCTGCTTGAACCGCGGCGCAGTGCACATCGAGCTCCGCCCCGCTACTCCGTGGCAAAAGCTATGCTGTTAGTGAAACCAGTGCTTTAGTAACTTGAAACCGTAATACTATAGTTATTAGCAAAAATACTGTATAATATTAATCTGTGAAAAAGTGAATATCGATAAGCGCGTTAAAAGTGAGCCCTCATGTCTTGACTCTGTCCTGAGTCGTCCACGCCAGATATGGGGGACGCTAACGAAGAAGAAAGCGCACCTAAAGCTGTTGAATATCAAGTACCAGCTATTATTCAACAGCACGAGCTACAAATAAATCACGTGCGTCAACAACTGCAGCAATTACAGCACGTCCAAGGAGACGAGGAAAATTGCCAAGAACACCAACTACAGTTAGGGCAGCCTTCTCAACATTATGGAGCGCAATGTATCGCAACAGGCGGTGCAGCAACCTCGGCTCCAGTGTTTCAGAGCAGTAGATGTTCAACGCACCGTCCTCAATCCCAAGAATCATCTCCGGTAAGTACCGATACCAATAACTATGGAAACGAAACGAAAAATGATGCAATAAAGTGAAAATGAAAGTTAAACTGTGTACAATTGGTGATATTAATAACAAAGAAACAATTGTTTATTACTCATGATTTTGAAGAAAGTTCTCGTTTTGGTATGAGTAACGTACTTATTCTGTACTCACTCCTGAGCGTTTGCTCCAGCTTCAAGCGGTTGCTCTGACGAGAGCATTTACTCCAGGTTTCGTATGAATAATCAAGAGCAAATGCTCAAATGTCCAAGCAATTACTTAAGATTTCTTCAGTGACCTCCATAGCTTGCTTAGAGAACAAAAGACAGGTTATAAAAGCTCGACGCCGAAGTTCGCAGGGACCAGAGGCGTGTGAAAATCAGTACATACTTAAAGATAAATAAATGAAAATGGCTTAGTTATTGCAAATTCGAGCCAAGAAACTATACAGATAAGACTTATCTTATCGGTAGAAGTTCAAAATTTTCTTCAGATTTGAAAAAAGCATTGAATGGCGAAACAGAATTTTTGAAGGGAAATTCTGAGGGACACTTTGAACAATGTACAAAATATTGATTTCTTTAGATATTTAGGAAATTCAGTATTCCAAAGAGTAGCGGAAGAAGACATTCGGGTCTACCTACTACTGTTTATCTGACTTTCAATACTGTGTTCAAATCCTTTTTTTATTGTTAAGAAGAACGGCTCCGTTTCCTGATTTTTTAAAGTCAGTTTTTTTCAAACATTTATTACCTGTTACATTACATGTAATTTTTCAGGAGTTTGAAAAAATTAACATATAACATTGTGGGGAAATGCTGGAACTTTAATTTGGTACATGAATGGGTGAAAACTAGAACGGCGTAAATGACATAAATTCAGAGAAGTCTGTTTATTTAAGTCAATATTACTCTAAAATCGTGGTGCTTTGTTTCATCATTAGAACAACCGCATGTAAATTTTTCATTGAAACCTCGAAAATACATTGCCCCTGAAATATAGCCTAAAATAAAATTTTTTCCCAGAATTTATAAAATGTTACTTATACCGTTCTTGTTTTCGTCCATTCAAATTACGTATTTAACAATTTTGAAAATAAAGTAAAGAGAATAAAAAATAAACTAAGTTAAAAACTACTAAACTAACTAAATGCATTAGGTGTAAAAACGTTAGAAAGAATAGTTATAGATTACGTTTAAAAGACAATGAATTAGGCAGAATAAACAAATTTAGGGAGGGCGAAAAATGTCTGAACGAATACGTGTGCGAATACGAAAATGTGAACGAATACGAAGAGAAGAATTATTTTGAACAAGTGTGAAGTGTTGAGATTGGAGAATGTGGCAACGTATTGAAGATAGTTTGAGTTTGTTTAATTATAAATGTTTTAGTAGTCAATTCGAAGTTCTGAATGGATTTGTTTAATAGAAATGAACGAATCTGCTTTTTTGTTTAATAGAAATGAACCAATCTGCTTTTAGTACATGGAAGGTCATCTTTGACGTCACTCGCTATTTAATCTTGATTTTTTTTAAACCTGCTGCTTCGTGAAATCCAGGACCTGTTAGCCTATTCGGTTACCGAATATTTCGGATTGCTTTCGCCTTGCGGCTTCTACACTCCTTAATATAGCTTTTACTTAATACCACGGGTATTCTTTGAGCAAATCAAAGAAGTCTAAGAATGGTTTTTTGGCTCCATTTCGAAGCAAAATATCGGACGTTTACTCTCAAGTATTTACTTACAATAATTGCTAGTTTTTATTAACACCACCTAATATCCCAATTACGTCACGTTATGGTACTGTAGATTCTTTAGAGGATGATACAATGAATGACTGTGTGCCGGAACTGATTCAAGTTTACATTCCCCCTGTAAACGTGCACGCGTTTGATAATTATCCCAAACTATTAGAAAACATTAAAAATATAGCCTACTTTAAAAGAATACATTCAAAATATAACGACTTCACAACTAAACCGAACAAGACACAATTAAAATAATGTTCACCGCTATAGACTACTTCCGTAACTTTAGAAATTTCTGCGATGAAGAAAAACTCCAATACTAATTAAATAGAGACCCTACCGATAAAAAATATCAGTGGTAAATAAAGACTTGCTAGTTACGTACTCTGAAAACAAAATGAGTGAATTAATCGGGATAAATTTATCAGTCATCTAAATGTATATATTATGCAATAAAGAAAAAAAACATTCCTATCTGCGCAGTGAATCTAACAGACAATAGAGAGGCTAGGAATGTATTCAGCCTAAAAAGATTTTTGTATAGTGTTAGAGTTTAATAAAGAATGAAATCTAGAATTATGAGCTGAAGTCTAGTGTACGGTACAACTTACAGAACACGTTTAAACCGGCACTTCGCGCCGCTCCGGCGGCAACAATGCAGTTTGAATTCTAGAGGCTTTCTTGAAAAATGCTTTCTTATAAAGATGAATTGGTAATTATGTGCTGGATAGACTCAAGGATGTTTAAAATGAACGCGAGGGCAGAAGGCCCGAGCCTGACCGTGACTTTGATCCGGGCGTGTGAAGTGAGAAAACTTGTCTTTGAAAATGAATTGACATTACAATGCGTCGGGAATAACGCGTATGAATGGCAAGACATGAAAATCGTCAATTCTTAATTTCTATCAGAGCGCGTAGCGTATTTTAGGGCGGCTTAAAAAGCCCCTCCCGCCGCCACGTTTCTCTGAGAGTGTACCGTGTACCTTACTTTAACCGAAATATGTGTCACAAGTGTCAACGGTAAGACCATTCATAAGCTCACTATGGTCTCGAAGTCACGTGAAGCAAATGCGTAGGGAATCATCACTATTCCGAAAGCAGAAAATTGAAAGACTCACACTCACACTGCGTAAATTGCAAAGAATTTCACCCAACTAACTACATGAATTCTCAAAAACCTGTAAATTTCCTTTAAATACAATTTAGTATATTCCCAATTTAGAAATCAATTATATACCTTCCACAACACTTTTACACATTTTTACAAAGTAAATAAATTTACAAACGCATGCCAAACAAATGACACCGACGCATTGCACAGCATAAAGAGAGAACCGGCATCCGAACTATGGGAGCCTCACACGTCCCCAAGCACGATTTCGCCGCTCTCTCCAAATTACCGCTGAGGTCATCGCGAAGGTTATCATAATCAGCCATTATGTTTTCCAAATTGAAAATGCAAATTATTTAAATTGCACCGATCGAAGGCCGCGACTTCTTTCGCCCCGACCCGGCCAGTTTAATGAATGATGAACGGCGTGTGTCCTAGGGCACGACGGCGGCAGCCCCGTGTAATAACAAACGTTGGCAAAGCCAGCGTAACGGAATTATCGGCGTCGATTAACTAATGTAGGGCGACGGCGCGAAGCTCGAGATGATGCGGTCACTCGCCGCTGCCTCCGGGGACAAGCCATCGCTCAGGGCTGCATGGCCCGGCCCGTCGCCGCTTTGACATATGACCAAATAATACCTCCTCGCAGGCGCGATGGAAGCAGGCGGGGTCCTCGTGGTCAGTGGATCAGGAAAACGAGGGTTGTGATTTATAAAAACGTAAGTGGTGGACACGAACGGCTGTGCGCGGCGACGCTCAAAGGGGCCGCAGAAGCGGCAGACGGGAGTGCAGCGTGGAGATGATTGGGGATTTGGGGTCTCGCCGATGGCCAGGTGGGGTTGTTCGACTTTGCGATGAGGGTGATCGGTTATTAGTCGACGGTGCACAAGAAAAGTGACACTTCTCAAACACTGACACGTTTCGAGATACGTTTTAATGTAACTGGTGCCGTTCATTACGCGGGAAAGATGAAAATGTTTTTCACTGTATAGCATGTCCGTTAATTACACCAGCAAAAAATCACGCAGCCTCTTATCGTTATTGGAGGAATTGTTGCGCAATTGGTTATCCATCCAAAACTTTCCGTTTTGAGAAAACTAGACTTTTTAATGATCTCGAGCGCTCAATTTTGTGCAGTTTGTGTTCCAATAAGACAGTTGTAGCAGCTCAACACGTGAGGTAGCAATGGATCTTGCATTTCTTCAGAAACCTTATCTTCCTGGCGCGTTGGCATTGCATTGTCTCTGACCGGGAGGTTCTAGGGTACGAGTTACGACGTTGCAGAGGCAGGTTTTTCGACAGCAGCTAGAGAGCTAAGTCGACTTCAGGCACTGACTGAGGGAGAAATTTAGCGCCCAGCTGCTCTGATCGGTAGTTTTCCGTGGCTTCTCCTCTCAATATCAGGAGAATGCCGGAGCAGCACCCTAACGAATGGGACACGGACAGCGCGCGATGCTTCCTTTCTCTTCCTTGTGCTATGCTCTCCCCTTTCACATGCACAACACTACCCCACATGTCGTAAGACTAATCGGGAGCTTAGTTTTTCCAGAGATGCCTGAATAGGAAAAAAACCTGCGAACCGACTTATAAACCAGCGCTGGATCTCACCACCTAGCGGGGAAAGAACACCCTTTCCTCTCGTAATAAAAAACATTCACTCTACTTACTAGACTAATGGCCAAAGGCCTTACTAGCCTTGGGAGAGGGGCCTGCTGGCGTAGCTCGAAGCAGGAGAACACTCCGCCGCTGCACTGGACCTCGCCTCTCCTGAATTGGAGCCCCTGGATATAGTGTGTCACATCCATTTGCGCCGCGGGATACCACCCTTTCCGACTTTTGATATCCAGTTGCCGGCTCTGCCAGTACGGTTGTGTCCGGTGAGCGTTGACCTTTACCCGTAAATATGTAAGAAGAGTGCGTTGTGAGGCCGTGAATTACATGAATAGATCTGGCATGAGAATTAGACTGTTTCCATTGCCTCGAGGAAATAAATACAGAAAGAAGACAAAAATATGGATAATGAATTTTATGAAAGAATATCTTCCGAATTATGTGTATGTATGCCAGGTGAGAGCTTTGATGGACACTTAAAGGGCATATTGGTTGGCTTTGTTGCAATATTGAAATGATTTTGACAT